CATAAATAAACATATATATATATATATATATATATATATATATATATAAATTTTCATATGCTTCAATAATCAAGATGGAAGATTAAGATCATGATCCATTGGTCGGCAATTTATCCGTCACTGACTGACCACATTTTCAAAATAACTTAACATGTTCTGTTGTATATTATTCTGAAATAATTGAAAAACTGAATTATATTCAATAAGTCACACAAAATAAGTAGAATAAGTTGATTATTTTATACCTTGTATAAAATCAATTTTGACGTTGTCAAATACTAGCGCCATGAAGGTATATCTCATAATATCGATTACCTTTTTCACTAACCATAATTTCCTATATTTAAGGCAATATTGTGTATAATGAAGGTGCGAAGATTTTGATTTTCATGTTCCCGTGAATGCTAAGTGACCATAGAAAACTTAACAAAGCGTTTGGCATTTGAGAAAACCATAAATTCTTTATGTACCAAAAGCGACAAAATAAACAAAACTCATATCCAATTCAAATTCTAAATCACTGTTTTTTTTCCAGGAATTCAAATCAAATGAAGTAGTACCGGATGTTCTTAATGACGCTCCTGATAAACTGCTGGAGATCAAGTATAAGTCAGGTAAAGATGTAAGACTTGGCAACGAACTCACCCCTAAACAAGTTCTGGAAGCACCTGAAGTCAAATATGAAGCCGACTCTAAAGACTATTATACACTGATTTTCACCGATCCAGATGCGCCCAGCAGAAAAAATCCTAAGAGCAGAGAATGGAATCACTGGTTGGTGAGTAACTTTTCTCAATAAACATAGTTTTTTTATTAAGAAAAAGAAGTAAGCTTAGATAAACATTTATACGTTAAATTTGATAATGAGGACGCTTTTGAACTGATTCGTCACAGAATTAGATTGTCTTGCAATATGCAAATGTTTACATTTTTTTTCATTTACATATCTACCTCTATTATTTCGAATATGAAACCTTCTCAACATCTTTCATATTCAGTGGAAGTCTTCTCGAGGGCAGTGACAAGAAAAAGATTCTCATAGAAACGCAGATAATAACTCAATTGAACCCATTAGCCTTCAATAAGAAATATTTATAAACAGAGCAGCTTATTTGCTATTATTATTGATTTATTTGGTTTTGAAGGTTGTTTTTCTTTGAGTTATTGAATATATGATTTATTTTGACAAGCTAACAAGCAAGATTTGTAAATATAGAATCATCAAGGTATTGTTGAGACAAAATTTTACAAGGGAAATCTGTATTTTTTTCAAGTTATTATTATTTCAATCGAAATGTACTTTATTGTATGAAACTATCATCTCATCTGTATTGAAAATACAGACATGAATACATATAAGTGAAATATAGATTCACAAAAAAATAATAACAGAAATAACGTTAAATGCAGGTTGGAATACTCCTGAATATCATAAAATGTCTTCCCTATAAGTGATATATTGACAGCACTATTCCCCAAAAATGCTGTCTCTCAACGTGTGTTTTGGTAACCAAGTTAGCATCATCAAGAGACGACAAAAATTGATACTTACAAGCTATGTTAATGTTTTTATATTCATCTACACTAATCATAACCTTGGTAATTAAATTAATTTCTAGTATTTTGGTATTGTCCTATTATTATTTACTACCTGACTGATACTTAAACTTTTTTTACCCGTAATTACTAACTGGTGTGAATGAGCTATTAGCAATGGGAGATCTCTCACCGTTTATAGATCTCATTCCACAATTTTCGATTTCAAAACTATCGAAGGCATCTAAAAACACGCTGGCATGTACCGGTCTCAACAATTTTAGGCTTTTCTTGCTTATTATATGGCCATACCATAGAATGCCGTTTCCGAGATAAAAAAAGCTCTCTGAATAATTATTCACAGGATACCTATTTCTTTCCCTACCTTGAAAAAGTATCGATTGGCATATGTGTGGAATAGTCGTTTATGTTTCTGATTCCTTAGAACAGATTACCATAATTAGCATGAACATCAAATACGGCATGGTACACAATTTTTGCTGTTTTTCACTTTAATAGTGTTAGTTTCCAACGGTAAATCGGGAAATACGACAGTGTTTCATTGGTATCGAAGTAAGTCGATTAGCTTCAACACATTTCTTGAACTTAGGATTATTTTACTGTAAAGGGTGTCTACCTCTTTATCATGCTATAATGCCTTAATTAGCATGAACGTCGAATACGGCATGGTACACAATTTTTGCTGTTTTTCACTCTAATAGTATTAGTTTCCAACGTTAAATCTGGAAATACGGCAGTGTTTCATTGTTATCGAAGTAATAAGTCGATTAGCTTCAACACATTTCTTGAACTTAGGATGTATCATGGATTAATTTATTGTAAAGGGTGTCTACCTCTGTATCATGCTATAATGCCTTAATTAGCATGAACGTCGAATACGGCATGGTACACAATTTTGGCAGTTTTTCACTCCAATAGTATTAGTTTTCAACGTTAAATCTGGAAATACGGCAGTGTTTTATTGGTATCGAAGTAAGTCGATTAGCTTCAACACATTTCTTGAACTTAGGATTATTTTATTGTAAAGGGCGTCTACCTCTTTATCATGCTATAATGTCATAATTAGCATGAACATCGAATACGGAATGATACACAATTTTTGCAGTTTTTCACTCCAATAGTATTAGTTTCCAACGTTAAATCTGAAAATACGACAATGTCTTTCAGTTTTCATTTTAACAATGTCATTGAAATACAACAGAAACAGGGCAGGCCCAGGAGCAGATTTCCGTGGGACACAGTGTTTGATATAGGTAAGCTGGATTCGGTAACTCAAATTCAAACCAGCTAATCCCGTAATGCTGAAAAGTTTGCACCAATATCCATAATATACACTGTCAAAAGCCTTTGATTAATCAGAGATAATACTGCCACGCTAACTTCTTTCAAATTCAAATGATTGTATAGATATTTTTGAAAATAGAATATATCATCAGATGAATTTCTTTAAGGCTGAAAGCTGAATTGTTTGTGATTCAAAATATCATGTTTATTTACTAACTTTTGCTAATATTCTATAATTTTTCCTAAGATTGGAATAAGTGAAACTGGCCAGAAGATTGCCTGATGTATCACCTCTCTTAGGAACTGTCCGCAAAAGAGTTGAATATTTTCAATGAATTAAACATTGAGAAATAGTTTCAAATAAGGTGCAACTATATGAAGAAATGGATTATGGTTTTGTAGTTTTATCCTCACCTCACAGCGTTTCGTGAACTCTGCATCGATTGATAAATAAATTTCTCTGAATAATACTTAATACACTTATTTGCGAATGTTTCATACGTCCTCGAACTTTAACATTCTTTTCTGTTGAATTATTTAGATGTTGTAGCCTTGAAACTTACTGAATTACTGTTAAATGTGATAACATAATGAAGTATTTTCACATAACTTTTGAACTTTCTCCTGAAGAGGATTCTGAATATTATAAACATTTTATTTAAAAAAAAATATAAAATTCATGGGCAATCTATTTTCATTCATACGTCATTTTTACGTACCCGCCTTCGCTCAGGATGACCTTTAAATTATCAAAGGTGAAAAAATGTTTAAACTTATTCTAACTATTCACAATACTTGTCTATAGATAACATTTTACATTTTGTTATCCGGGGAATATACGAGGTTTGCTAGAAAATAACAGATCAACATTCACCCTATCCCCTTTATAAATAATAATTTTGAATCGAGTTTTTCGCTGTTCAAAACAGTGTTTTGAAAAGCATATTCATAGTCTTCGTCGCTTTTTCCTTCACAGCTTTCACTGTATCAAACTTGTTTTCTTTCAATATTTCCTTTACTTTCGGGTAACCAAAAAAAGTTACATGGAGCTATATTCGGTGAGTATGGTGGATGTTCCAATACAGGGGTCGATACTAGGCAAAAAAATGGTCCAACAAACAATGCAGTGTAGGCTAAAGCATCATCCTAGTGATTCATCAGCGACTTATTCACTCACAACTCTGATTGCCTTTCTAGAATGGCGAGAACCTCAAGGAAATTAGAAAGTGAATCGTGCGTTCAAAGAAAGAAATCTAACTGTGAAGATAAATTAAGCGTTAGCTGCTAAGTGTTGTATATAAATCAGTTGGAAAGTGAAATATTGTTAAAAATAAATTTGTTTAAGACAGTTAATTCTTTAATTCATTACAATACGATATCAAAATTCAGGTTTTATTCAAAGACCTGAAAAAATACTCCGCTGACAAAGACTTCAGGGAAGTATCAATATATTTAAGGCTAAATTGAAAAAAAATCCTTCTGTCCGGTTACTGGAATACTTCATGTATTATATGGTAGTTATTTTGGCAACATTGTATAGAGTAGTGGCCAACACTAACAAAGGATAAACCCCGGCTACTTGTAGTAATAGTAATACCACGTAGTGATGTGCCGAGTCGCTGTTTTGATGGATCGAGTCGACTCGAGTCAGTTTATACGGTATTCGAATCACGACTCGATACCCTATTCGAGACCAGTACTCGAATTTGTATGTTTGTTATTCGAATATTAACTCGAGTCCGGTTGGACTTGAGTCTAGAAATTCGAGTCTGAAAATTCTAGTACGGAACTAGAGTCCGATTTCAGAACAAAAGAGAAAAATGAAAAGGAGTGAAACAGCGTGTAGGTTAGGTTGAGCACAATGACACAACAATAATAAATCCATAATTTTTAATGAAAAATAATTATAAACATGAAATAAAAACATAGAGCATAGGAGTTCTACGGAGATAAACAAAAAAAGAACATAATCAAATATACTCACGTATTTAAGTAGTTATTAGTAATTTGAGACAACTTTAAGGAATCCTATACATCTAAACACTAGGCAGATATAGTAAGCATTAAAATCAAACCATTTTGATTTCACAAAAGTAGGAACACAAACTCAACAGCTTAGAATATAACATTTGGGAAGGTATCCACCTAAGCAAACTAAACCGTACTCACAATACCGTACATAACTAAATGAATATATAAAAAAACAAAATAGAGATAAGAAAATAAAAGTTATTTGAAATAACTGTTCAAAAAAGTATTTGGTCAACTTTCTTGGACTCCAGTCTATTGCAGCGTTGGTTGCATACACTCGTTTCGAAGGCACAGAAGTGGCTGGAATACATATAAATACTTCAAAGCTGTTTTATAAAGGCCGCTGTTGGTGATTTTGCGAAGTTCCCAAAAGTTCAGTGGATTGGCTTTTCTATCCAAATACGGTAGCTCTGCGTACTGTTTCAACATGATCATTGCTGTTGTTTGGGGTTTTCCATGCTTGAAAATTCCAATACCCCTTTATCTAGATGCTCCCATAAATTCTCGGTAGTCACCTCTGAAGTTATCTGCTGGGAATCTGAAGATGAAGTTGTAGGTGTTTCAAGACGTGAAGTAGATGGCAGTAGATATCTATTTGGCACCTGGAATTGAGCTTGAATTGTGTTTCCAACATCATCAACTCGTCAACAACAAATTGTTGACCATTATCTGCATTTGTCTCGATGCCACAACCAGCTTTCTTAAATCTTGGATCCATGAATGTTGCTTCAGCAACAGTTTTGTTAATCTCATGACCGCCAAATCTTTTATTGAAAACGTCCAGTACCTTTATTTTTAACCTTCTAGCGACTTCAGAATTAGAATTGCAACTTCTTAGTGCCGTTTGTACGCCTCGAAGAATTTATTCTTTTGTACATTCTTAAATTTAATTTGCGCAACATGTTG